ATGCCCGTTCCGGGGTGTTCCGGAGGCATTTTGGCCTAGAAAGGGTTAATAAAAGAGTGAGAGCTCCGGTTTTCCGCTTCTAGAATATTGTTCTGGAGGGTCTGTAATGCATGCCACTGTTTTTTGCGATACTATTGTGTGTTTAATGCCCGTTCCGGGGTGTTCCGGAGGCATTTTGGCCTAGAAAGGGTTAATAAAAGAGTGAGAGCTCCGGTTTTCAGCTTCTAGAATATTGTTCTGGAAAACCTGTAATGCATGCCACTGTTTTTTGCGATACTATTGTGTGTTTAACGCCCGTTCCGGGGTGTTCCAGAGGCATTTTGGCCCAGAAAGGGTTAATAAAAGAGTGAGAGCTCCGGTTTTCAGCTTCTAGAATATTGTTCTGGAAAACCTGTAATGCATGCCACTGTTTTTTGCGATACTATTGTGTGTTTAACGCCCGTTCCGGGGTGTTCCAGAGGCATTTTGGCCCAGAAAGGGTTAATAAAAGAGTGAGAACTCCGCTTTTCCACTTCTAGAATATTGTTCTGGAAGGCCTGTAATGCATGCCACTGTTTTTTGCGATACTATTGTGTGTTTAATGCCCGTTCCGGGGTGTTCCGGAGGCATTTTGGCCTAGAAAGGGTTAATAAAAGAGTGAGAGCTCCGGTTTTCAGCTTCTAGAATATTGTTCTGGAAAACCTGTAATGCATGCCACTGTTTTTTGCGATACTATTGTGTGTTTAATGCCCGTTCCGGGGTGTTCCGGAGGCATTTTGGCCTAGAAAGGGTTAATAAAAGAGTGAGAGTTCCAGTTTTCCACTTCTGGAATATTGTTCTGGAGTGCCTGTAATGCATGACACTGTCTTTTGCGGTACTATTGCCCATTCCGGCCCGTTCCGGGGTGTTCCGGAGGCATTTTGGCCTAGAAAGGGTTAATAAAAGAGTGAGAGTTCCAGTTTTCCACTTCTGGAATATTGTTCTGGAGTGCCTGTAATGCATGTCACTGTTTTTTGTGGCAGTATTGTGTGTTTAGTACCCGTTCCGAGCTGTTCCGGGGAGTTCTGGAGGCATTTCTGCCCAGAAAGGGTTAATAAAAGAGAGTGTTTTGGTTTTCCACTTCTGGAATATTCTTCTGGTGAGCCTGTAATGCATGCCACTGTTTTTTGCAGTACTAACGTGTGTCCAATGCCCATTCCGGGCCATTCCGTTTTGTTCCAGAGGCATTTTTGGCTTAGAAAGGGTTAATAAAAGAGTGAGAGCTCTGGTTTTCCACTTTTAGAATATTGTTCTTGAGTGCCTGTAATGCATGCCATTTTTTTTGCGGCAGTATTGTGTGTTTAGTGCCTGTTCCGAGCTGTTCTGGGGAGTTCCGGAGGCATTTTGGCCCAGAAAGGGTTAATAAAAGAGTGGGAACTCCGGTTTTCCGCTTCTAGAATATTGCTCTGGAGGGTCTGTAATGCATGCCACTGTTTTTTGCGATACTATTGTGTGTTTAATGCCCGTTCCAGGGTGTTCCGGAGGCATTTTGGCCTAGAAAGGGTTAATAAAAGAGTGAGAGCTCCGGTTTTCCGCTTCTAGAATATTGTTCTGGAGGGTCTGTAATGCATGCCACTGTTTTTTGCGATACTATTGTGTGTTTAATGCCTGTTCCGGGGTGTTCCGGAGGCATTTTGGCCTAGAAAGGGTTAATAAAAGAGTGAGAGTTCCAGTTTTCCGCTTCTAGAATATTGTTCTGGAGGGCCTGTAATGCATGCCACTGTTTTTTCTGGTACTATTGTGTGTTTAATGCCAGTTCCGGGCCGTTCCGGCTTTTACCCTGTCCCCTCATTTTTTAGTAAAAGGCTGTTTTAAATGTTTGTTTGTTTTTTAAAAAAATATGTAACTGCGAATGTAGCCTATTAGCAGAGTCACCCTGTAAAGTCGTTGCTGTTTAATTTTTGACCATGTCTAGTCAGAATTCTATTATACAAGAAAGGGGACCCGCACTCGGGGGGGGAGGAGCTCCAAGCAGAGCAGACGGAGGAGGAAGCAGCAGCAGGAGATAAGCTTATTCCGTCTCCTCCACCCTCCACCACCACCACTTGTAGCCACCGGGCCTCCCTGGTTCCCCCCCCCCCAGTGGGACTCAAGGGGGGGAGTATTCCGGCCCCCCAAGCTTCCCCCTTCCTCTCTCCCCAGCGGCAGTGAGGCTGGCTGGCCCACCAAGCTTCCCCCTTCCTCCGTCTGCAGGAGGGCCGCCAAGCCTTCCGCCCCCAGTGTCCAGGAATATCTCCCTGCCCCCCAGGTGCCCCCAATGTGCGGATTTAGATATCCACACTCAGGGGGTGCCTTTCGCTATTAGTATATAGATATTTTCTCTTGGTGAAGGCTTGTTTAAAATGTTGGCCTTTTGAATTTCTCCTTCACATTGTTATCAATCACTGTTCCAGAATTACTTTGTATTTGTTAGTGTAGTTCTGTAGTGGTTTCTGTGACTGGGTCCCCTCTATGGCTTTATCGCTTAGGTTCTGATTTGTTTGTTGGAAAATTTGGAAATAAATAATAAATAATTTTTTAAAACCTGTTCCAAGACAGGCTCCAAAGAGACAACAACAGGTTAACATGATATAGCAAAGATTTATGATGATTTATGGTGAGTCCAGAAATCTCCCCAAAGCTGCCTAACACCTTGTGCAGTTCCAAAATGGAATCCTGAGGTTCAGAGATGTACAAAATTAAATTTTCTGCAAAGAGAGAGAATTTAAACTTGTGATCCTTCACCTGGATGCCCTGGATTTTTGGACTGTGCCTAAATACCATTAGCAAGGGGCTCAATTGTGATCACAAAAAGTAAAGGGGACAAATGGATCCGAATATGTCCTGTTGATCTTCAGTTGGCTCTGGCGATTAGCATATACTGACAAAATTGCCCTTTAAAAGTTGTCCTCAAATCCCATCTGGGAAAGTAAAGATTTCAGATATACCGGTTCCAGACCGTCAAACGCCTTCTGGATACCTAAGGAAAGAAGGACAGCTTCCACATCGTAAGTATCACCCACCACAGAATCTCTTTTGAGAGCTCAATTCCCTTTTAAGTGGGTTGAAACTTCATGGCCCTATCTGGGCATTAAAACACCACTTAACTTCAAAGATCTGATGAACTTTACTAAACTTCACCAAGAGACACTATCTTTGTTCTCACAATGGAATAAATTTAACCCTGTCTGGTCAGCTAGGTTTAATCTGATCAACTCTTTTATATTGCCTAAATATTTTACTCTACTTCCGTATGTTACCAATTCGGATTCCTGTCACAACTATTAAAAAATTGCAGCAATCTGTGGGAGGAGAAGTAAGGAAGTACTTCTTCACCCAAAGAGTGATTCACACATGGAATTCACTGCCACGGGAAGTGGTGCTACATGCTACAAGCATGGACGGCTTCACAAGGGAATTAGATAGGCATATGGAGCAGAGGTCCATCAGAAAAGAGGACTCTGGGGCAAGTGATGCTCTGTCTTCTTGGTGCTTAGGGGGGGTCAACAGTGGGAGGGCTTCTAATATCCTGGCCCCACTGGTAGGCCTCCTGATGGCACCTGGTATTTTTGGCCACTGTGTGATACAGAGTGTTGGACTGGATGGGCCATTGGCCTGATCCAACATTGGCATCTCTTATGTTCTTATGAACAGGTTGCCTGATCTGCCGGAGATGTTGAAAGGCAGGCCAGGCAAGGCAACAGTGGTGATTCTGTCTCGACTCTAATTGGGACCCAGAACCTGAGACGGTTAGTCAGGTAGAAAAGAGGGCGCTCTTGTCGGCTTGGCTAACCTTTCCAGGTTCTGGATCCCAGGGTTTTAGGTTCAGTCCCGTCCCCCCCCCCCTTTTGTCCCAGTCGACTCTAATTGGCCCTTCCTGGCAACTAATCCTGTATTTAATGGTTGAGGAAATTCTGTCTCTGAAGAAGGGTGCCTGCAGAGGAAAGCTCACACCTGGAAGAAAACTTGGCTGGCCTTCAAGGCGCTGGTGGACTCGCACTTTGTCCGGCTGCTTCAGACCAGCAAGGGGACCAGTGTTCCCTCTACGCTGCGTTGGTGTGAGCCAGCTCACAGTTCTTTCGCCTCTGGCTCACAGGGTGTTGTCTTTACTCAGGAAGGTTGAGGCTCCAGAGCCAACTAATGTATGCAGCGGCCAAATCGCTCGCTCAGGAGCTCACCAAGGAGAATTCTTGCGCACAAGACTCCACAGATTAGGTCGCTGGCATGACGCCCTCTCTCAGCGTTGTCCTGCAGCCAACATGTTCGGGAGGAGGAGCTGCCGGCTCCCCCCCCCATTGTCTTCCTCTTGGCGCCATTCCAGGTGGTTTCCTGGCACAGCTGGCTGGCTCTGGGCTGCCGTTCCCTGAGCCCCGGGTGTGCTTCAGCGCCTTCTGCTTGCTCTTCGGTCCGGCTTCAGGTAAGAGCGGGATCGCCAAGAAAGAAGCGCTCCCCCCCCCCCCGCCGCCAAATGCAGACCGAAGACCTGGAAAGAAAAGCCCCCTCTGCGCTCGGTCTTTGTTTCC